TTCAAGGTCCAGAAAAGTACCAAGATGATCGACAAAGTAGTCCGTGTGATATCAGTGGTTCAACTGTAAAGTTACGAAGCTATGAGAATACTTTTTTGCACCGCCACAAGCTCGCGCCATGGTACTGTCGTGAACGCTCGTCCAAAGTGACGCATTAGAGATGAAAATGCGGAATAAAGTAGTTGTTTTCTTTGCGCAAAAAAAGTATTCTCGTAGCTTCGTAACTTTACAGTAGAACCACTGATGTCACACGGACTACTTTGTCGATCATCTTGGTACTTTTCTGGACCTTGATCGTGGTAGTTACCTTGCTGTCTATGGGAGGGTCAGAGAGCGCTCATATTTCATCAAAAATATCTTAAATTGTGTTCCGAAGATGAACGAAGGTCTTACGGGTTTGGAACAACACGAGGGTGAGTAATTAATGACAGAATTTTCATTTTTGGGTGAACTAACCCTTTAAGCAACTGTACAGAAACAACCATTTTTGGCAATAAAAATCTAAAGTAACAAATACCATCTGGTTTATTCTAAACTTTAAATATTCATTAAATTACACACAGTTGAAGCAGCATAAATAAAAACTACTGTCAATAATGTGTCAGTTGTGGATGAAATGCACTAAAAAGACAATCACTATGACAAATAAACAGTGAGCAAGTCACTGTTAGGCAACTAAGGAGTTAACCATTTCAGAAAATGTGAACACCTAGAAGTGTGAAGAGAGAAAAAAACACAAGACAAACCACAACAAAAAGTCAACGGGGCAAATCATCGCTCAGTGACTGAGATTCGGCCTACCTCTTCTCCCTTCAAGGTCCTTATCATCTGATAGCGGCCCTGCACCTCGCAAAACTTTCTATATAACATTACTGTAGGAGCCAGAGCCTTTGCAAGACTCTCGACCGAGACCAGAAGTTCAGCATCACCTCAGATTCAGGAGGAAGCGATCCAACTCGAGCTGGGAGGTGCTGTGACTCTTACTTCCTTTTTATTACACTGCTGTCGCTGGTCTAAGAACGGCAAAGTGCTGATGAAATCTGTCTCTTTTATTTTTAATTTTTTTGCAAAAACACCCTTATCTAATCATTTATAGCCAATAGATGAAAGCCTTTCAGGGTTAAATTGAATGTTTAAAAGTGCATTTAACTCCAAAATGCCTGTATGTAGCAGATTAATTAATTTTAATGCTTCATTTTACATAGCACAAAATATGAAAACGTGAAACTAGGCCAATAGGCCTTGAAATTAGAGTGCTGAATGACTTTTGTGAAGTTTAGAGTATTAATAGGAGGTCAATTCAGAAATGCTATATGTAAAATAGCCTAAAAAATACATATTTTTTTTAAATCAACATATAAAATATTATTCAAAAAAATTACTCCTTTTGTGCCCCACTTCACATTATGTCTCTGCAGTTTGTAAATAAAGTACTGGCCCTTAAAAAAGGGTAAAATGCTGAGCTAACAGTAAAGAATGAAACACTACCGTGCCTCCACTTCCTGTCTTATTTCCTCTAATGCTCAGAAAGAACCTGACACCATTTACTTCTTCATTCATTTTAGTACTATGGTAAATTCCTGTCTTCAGTTGACTGACTGGGTGATAATTTACACCCAGTCATCAGTAAGAATGAAACAGATGATCTAATCTACATTTTTGGTAGAGAGGAAATAACTTGACTACAAAAGTTGACTTACTCTGGCTTTCTTGTACATTTTGTTCTTCAAGTAGCTGAACGTCCGGCTCACTTTGGTGGTACTTTTTTCAAAATCTCCTTTTAAAGGTCCACTCCTCCTCTGTGATGCTAAAAAAGAAAAGAAAAATCAAGATATAAATACATGCATTACTCTGCTTCCAGTGTTTCCAAAAATGCCAAAATGAAATGAGCCAAAATAGTCATGGGTGTCCAACCTGTATCCCATTGAACTGGTGGTACTGGTGAATGACGTCATGCCTACAAGTACAATGATGGAGTCAAATTAGCATCGCCAACAACAAACAGCCTCGTCGCCCCGTGATAGAGCCTGATTTATGTACACATGCAAAACCGTCTTTTTGCAAAAAGAGTTAGTGCTTGGTCAAGCAACTCGACCAGATTAAAATGACTCGTGGTGCCATGAACATGCTACGTGCAAGACCATTTTAATCGATATGGAGTTTTTGAAACTATATCATATAAAATGTATATCATGAAATCATATTGTTATTATTGCGAGAAATTTCCCAGCATTCTTTATTGATTCTCAAAAAAAGTATATATATACACTTTATTAAGAAAAATAAATAATAATAATAAAATAAATTTTTTTACCAAAACCAAAATTAATGTTTTCATGAAAACTGAAACCGAGAATAAAATGTTGGTAATTAAATTTGTGTAATTAGGTAATGAACTCAAAATGTTTTTCAGGGTGTCATGTTCTCATTAGGTGAAAAATTATGTTTTTTGTCTACAAGCTGCCTCTCTATATTTCAGCTGAACAAATTGTACATATTGCTACTCTAGCTTCATGGTCATGGTGAAGTGCATTCACACTGTTGACATGTTTACTTGTTGTAGTGTACACGAAATAGATGGCGATACAATCAAAATGCATCATTAAAGAAATTCTAATTAAATATCACTGTTTTGGTCAATGATTTCAGCTTCAATTATTTTGGTCAAAACTGAAAATTTGTTTTGATTGCATATTTTTGGTACAGGACTACATATGATAGCGCTCTTTTATTATATGGAGGATCAGACTGACATTTTTTTTATTTATTAACTGAGGAAAAATATATTTGAAAATAATGTGCATTATTCAATTTTATATAACATGAAACACCAAGTTTCAAATAGATATTTTGAAAGCTATGCTTTCAAACTGAATTTTTATTTTTTGGGGTGAATTATTCCTTTTATAATATGTGTTTAAAAACCCAAAAACTGAGTTGAAAACTGATTCAGAAAATGTATTGCTCTATTTGAGGTACAGGTTTCAAAGGTGACTAGCATATTTCATCTATCTCTACATCTACTGCGAATCACAGGACATCGTCTAGGGACGAGATGCTGGAGGTTACTATACTGAAGATGCTATTATCCAGTTCTCACTGCAACTTACTTATGATGTCCTCCTCATCACTAGATGAAGAGGTGACAGCAAAGACAGTTTTAGATTTAGGGAGGATCGGTGAGCGGTTGAAGGTAAAAGAGATCTGCCTCTTTCGCCGAATCCTTCCTATCACTGGGCGGCCGCATTGGGGATGGAAAGGTCAGAGCAAGTACTTATTAAACCAGATGATTTAGGGGCCTGAGAAAAGTTTTTTGTCTACAAGCTGCCTCTCTATATTTCAGCTGAACAAATTGTACATATTGCTACTCTAGCTTCATGGTCATGGTGAAGTACGTTCACACTGTTGACATGTTTACTTGTTGTAGTGTACACGAAATACATGGCGATACAATCAAAATGCGTCAATAAAGAAATGCTAATTAAATATCACTGTTTTGGTCAATGATTTCAGCTTCAATTATTTTGGTCAAAACTGAAAATTTGTTTCGATTGCATATTTTTGGTACATGACTACATATGATAGCGCTCTTCTATTATATGGAGGATCAGACTGACATTTTTTAAATTTATTAACGGAGGAAAAATATATTTGAAAATAATGTGCATTATTCAATTTTATATAACATGAAACACCAAGTTTCAAATAGATATTTTGAAAGCTATGCTTTCAAACTGAATTATTTTTTTTTTGGGTGAATTATTTCTTTTATAATATGTGTTTAAAAACCCCTAAACTGAGTTGAAAACTGATCCAGAAAATGTATTGCTCTATTTGAGGTACAGGTTTCAAAGGTGACTAGCATATTTCATCTATCTCTACATCTACTGCGAATCACAGGACATCTTCTAGGGACGAGATGCTGGAGGTTACTATACTGAAGACGCTATTATCCAGTTCTTACTGCAACTTACTTATGATGTCCTCCTCATCACTAGATGAAGAGGTGACAGCAAAGACAGTTTTAGATTTAGGGAGGATCGGTGAGAGGTTGAAGGTAAAAGAGATCTGCCTCTTTCGCCGAATCCTTCCTATCACTGGGCGGCCGCATTGGGGATGGAAAAGTCAGAGCAAGTACTTATTAAACCAGATGATTTAGGGGCCTGAGAAATGGGTGGAGGACAACTAAAACAAACCAGATGAGGAAAACAAATCATGTTATACTGGTACCACCTGTTCGCGTACAACCTCTGAAACAAGGAATTAATTAGAAAAATCCGGTATACTGAGAGCAAAAGATGTTTCTAGCAAACAATCTGTTATATAAGCAATCTCTAGAAGCCAGAAACTGAGAAAAGAAATGGAAATAAAGCAGCTTTACTCACCATCTATGTCCCGATGGCTGATGGAAAGCATAGAGACTGATTTTGTGAGGGGGAGAGTCACAGATGGACCGCTGTGTCTGAACTGATGATACTTCCTTGATTTCTGAAATCACAAACTCAGATACTCAGTGATAAAGTTATAGAAGTACTATCAGTTCGTTTCATGTTGGCTTCAAGTAACAATTTCAAATGGTTTCTGTATTTTAACCCAAATGTCCTGATTTGGAGAAGACAGATCTTGTCTTACCTGAACAGCTGGACTGCTGCATTCTCTCAAATCAGATTCAGGACCTTCTTCTGTGAGAGACATCAGTGAGCCCCTCTCCTCACTTTCCTGCCTCTGAACCCCTCGCTGCTCCGTGGATGGACCTCCAGACTGTGGTATCCAACGTTTGCCATCCTCAATCCCTGCTGCTAGACCCTCCAAACTATAACTACAACAGAACACATCATAAAGAACCAAGTTACGCTAAGAAAAAAAAAAAGAAAAAAATTATAAAAAATAAATGCATAAATATTAAAAATGTAAAATAAATAATTATATAAAATATACTATAATAATACATAATAACAATTAAAGATAAATCATAAAAATAAATTGTAAAAAATAACAAATGATAAAAAATTATAGAAAGTCAAAAAACAAATGAAAGAAAGAAAGAAAGGCTTTGAGAGTCACCTTATTTAAAGTGATACAAAAGAAAGCAAAGCTGTGCGGTACATACTGTTTTGCAGTGTTGGAGAAAGTTACTTTTAAAAGTAATGCATTACAATATTGCGTTACTCCCTGAAAAAGTAACTAATTACGTTACTTAGTTACTTTTTATGGAAAGTAATGTTACACGTTACTTTTGCATTACTTTTCAAATCTGGGCAGGGCTTGCTTGTTTGTTTTTAATATAAAAAGCCCTTCTTTTACAAATGTAAAAGCCCTTTCACAACAAAAGTGAAATGAATATGCCTCAGGCTGAAGGAGGGCGCCACTCAAACAAATCGCATGAAGAATATGACGCAGGAAATTAAAGTTCAACACTATTCAGCAATAACAAAAATGATACACAAATGATACACATAAAGTGTCATTTTTGCTTAGTATGGATGAATTGGATCATCGAAGATCAGTAGCAAAGACATTGGTTAATAAAATGGGATTAAATACATAAATGATATTTGTGTTATTTAACATATTTAAGTATTGCAGGTTAGTATAATTTTCTCAGTTTACATTTGACAGTTTTTATTCATTTTGAGGAATACTGAATCTGTTTTTGTGCAGGTGAGATGAGTAAACACATATGCTACATGCGCAAAGCCGACCTCATACGTCATCCACCCGAAGCTGCTTCCGTTTACAACAGTGAGCGCAATCTAGTTTAAAGTGATTATTACGTTTTGAATATGGATAGTTTTCTTACAAAAATGCATCGATTCGCTACAGGAGGCCTTTGTTCACCCCCCGGAGCCGTGTGAGACACTTTTTTTTAATGGATGGGCGCTTTTTATTTAACTTCTTTTGGACTGATGCATGCAACACCCGCTGAGTGGCATTAAACAGCTTGAAATATAAGAGACAATTTTTTATATAACTCCGACTGGATTCGTCTGAAAGAAGAAAGTCATATACACCTAGGATGGCTCTGGGCTGAATAAAACACAGCCTATTTTTCATTTTTGGGTGAACTAACCCTTTAAGCCATTTCTTTTCAGTCTAGCACACGAAAATAGTGAATTTCACCAACAGAATGGCTGCTGTTAGTACGAGACACCAGGACTGATCTTAGAAGCAATGCCATAGACAAACTAAAAGCTCAAAGCAGCACACTGAATATCACAATAGCAAACCAATGCAAACTGAGAAGTGTTTTGGGATGCTAAATATATATGTGAACATACAGGTGGCTAGAATATTTCCAAATGTGGAAATCTGAACTGTATCGAGATCACAATTATTTGAAACCTCAAAATAAATAAAAACTGAATAGTTAAAAAAAAAAAACACTACACTGTACAAAAGTGAAAATGATGATTATTTCTTACTGATCTGACATTTAAAAATAACTTTGTGTTACCTATTGTAGTCATGTCAAATCAGGCATATTAAATATTATTTTACATTTCGGTGCAACAATCTTAAGGAGGTTTGTTACAAACATCCGCTTACCTGACATTCAGACCAGTTTCGAGAACAATAATGTTAGTCATCATGTAACAAACAACAAAAGAAGCTACAACAAAAACTACACCGCAAAAAGCAGCACCTCCTAAGTATCTCTGCAGGAGCACGTCTAACTTTTAAAAGCCATCATTTATCTAAGCTTTACCAAGGCTGACTGAAGCAGCACAGAATAAGGCCTAAGCAAACGCTTCACTTTGCTCTGACAAACAGGTAATGCAAATGATGATGCAAAAGCTCTTTGTGCTAGTCGGAGGGGTTGGCTCTTCAGTTGGATTTACAGGAAGCTTGCACACAACGCAGTCATACACTCGCAGTACCTGATGAGCTCTCTAATTTCTTCCAGCTCTCGACAGGGTTCACTGGGGCACCAGCTCAGACTGGCCAAAATATAGGGGGCTCTACAGGGGGACTTTAACTAAGTAAATCATTTTTTTAAAGAGTATCACGGTGTAACAGGAAAAAAAAAATATATATATATATATTATTTATTTATTTTTATTTTTTTTGATGATACAGTGTTGATTCTATGGCCGGATTATATTTGAATACCATTTATATACCATTATTAAGTTTTAATAATTTAGTTTTGTGCTTTTGTCATTTTTATTAATTTTGGGTTTTTATATATTTCTATTTAGATTTAATTGATTTTTTAATTCAGTTCATTTCAGATTTTGTCAACTTGTTTTATTTCAGTCAGTTTCCAAGGCATGGACATTTCTAATATTTGTTCAAGTTTGTTTTAAGTTTTTCGTCTAATATTTTTGTTTTGTTTTTGATAAATGAAATAAAGATATTAATATTTTCGAATAGTTTTAGTTTTAGAATAAAAATAACAACATTGATCCCGACCTCAAACAATTTTGCAAAAAAAAAAAAAAAAGCATTGTGTGTGTTTAATATTTCTATTTACCTTTCATTTATTTTTAACTCAATTTTAGAAATTTTAGTACATACAATCTTAAAGTTTTTATAAAAATGTTAATTCTTTACATTTTTTATCTAATATTTAGTAGGGGTGTATTTCTATTTAGCTTTAATTTATTTTTAATTCAGTTTTAGTTTTAGTAATTTTAGTACTTAAACTTATTTCAGTTAGCTGCAAAGGCAACATTTCTCATTTTTATTAAATGTAGTTTTTGATCTAATAATTATATTTTAGTTTTAGGTAACAATAACAAAACTAATCCTGACCTCATGACCTGACCTATTTTTGATTAACTTTTGAATTATATATGCAATTTAATATTGAAGAAATACTAAACACTAAAGTTTGAAAAGTTTGCATTGGGAAAAAAACAGTTCATAATTTCAAAATTGAACAGAGCAATAATATCATCGTATTATTAGCGTTTTTATTATTTTTAGAGCTTTTTTCCCTCAAATGTATTCTATAACACTCGTTCACGTCTGAAGTATATCTAAACTGTAAGAGTTTGTTTACCTCAAACTTGTGTGCATCTCTCAGACTGCTGTCTGTCACTTTAAAGTGAAAAAGTATGTCACTGAATCATCAGCAGGGTGAAATGAGTCTGCTAGACCGACCAAGACGCACACTCACAGACTGCTTATTTTCATCCACCCAGGCATCATGTGACACACAAACCATATGCTATGATCTCACACACCTAAACTTAAAGCAGTCGTGAGCTTCCTTGGTGTGAGGCTTTGATGAGTCTATTGTGCCGAGCGCTGGTAGCGTGAGAGACAAGGAGAAGAGGATTTGAACTTCTGACACACATCAAGGTTTTTGTCAGTGTTCTGGGGGGGGGGGGGGGGGATAAAAGCCCTCTATTCATGTGCCCCTGAAATAGCTTCTATTGAGCATGTGTGCGAGGAAGCAGAGGGGGTGGTTTATAAGCGTGTGTGTGAGTGTGCAAGAGGTTTAAAAGGGTTCTAGAGAACTTATAACCACGTGACCTAGTGGGGAAAAAAACCCTCCAGTGGATTTTAATGTTTAGGTGTCCTAAAAACCACCACCACCTGGGGGTCCATGGCATGAAAACATTTGAAATCCCCTGTGATATGGAATCACTTTTACTATTCCTCATATTTCAAGTTAGGGACTTTTCAAAGCTCTTAAACCTTGGTATTAAACTTTTATGCATGAGTCATCTTGCACATTTGTGCAGACATGAATGAAACCTCAAATGTGTGAAGCTAGATGTGTACCAATTATTTTGCCTGCTGGACCTGAAAAAAATAAATAAATAAAATAATATAACAAAATAAATAAATAAAATTAAATAAAATATATAAAAATAAAAAAATAAAAAAATATTAAAAATATAAAATAAAATGAAAAAATTTAAATAAAATAAAAAAGAAATAATATATATATATATACAGTGGGTA